TTCATGATTTTTAATTATTATGAGTCTTACCCTTTTTTTTAGTTTGACTTACTAATTAAAACAAAAGCTAAAATTTAATTTTCAAATAATATTTCTCACCGTTGAGGTGGTCCAAGTATAAAGTAAGAATAAGAATAAAGAGGCATAAGTTTATTCAATAAAGGATTGGTAATATTTTGCAATGAGTCCTAAAATTTTTCGTTTCTTCTAATGATGAAATATTTTACTTGTAGGAACTATAATTCCTCAAGGAACCTTGACGTTTTAGCTATTTGCATGGTTGATCCTTTCACTACCAGTCACAATATTCCATTTTGAAAAGACTCTAGTCGTTTTTCTGTCTACTTTTAATTATTGAGAACAGTACCATAAAATAAAGTTGGACGTCTTATCGTTTTATAGATCTTCAAATCTTCAAATCCACATAATATTATATGAATGATAATAACAAACACCAGATAAATTAGTGGTAGTTTTAAATACATTTTTCAGTTATAACATAATTGATTCTTCTTCTTTCAACAGAAGTGCAGATCAATATTTGAAAAAAATATATATAATTCTATTATATTTCTAACATTATATTAGAAGTCACTGCTCTAACATTAATTAGAAAAACATTATTAGTTAACAATCCTGTTATAAATTTCTTTGATGATGCAGAATATTTAAAACATTATTTCTTATTAAAACTTGTAACACAATCCTTCTAAAAAAATAAATTGTTGTGTTACAATTTTTCAGTGTTTTTAATACTGTTCTGTTCATTTTAGAAAAAAAAAATGAAATCCACAAAATATGTCTGCCAAAATAACCGACAAATGAAACATCTGCTGCTAGCCTAATTATGGAGGCACTCTCCAATTCGGGAAATATTGTGTCACACGATGAATTGCGAGATTAGTTGAAGGACGGACTTTATTTGCGTTAGAATATTTTATTTGAGGGAAGCAGATAACAGGTGTTGTACTAGGCTGTTATTTGTCACAGATAAGATGGGTCGTTTAACGTTTTAACGTTCACAGATTTTTCTCCAACAAACACTTATTTTAATCCTGAGTTCTCGCTAGCCCATTCGTATCACCTCAGCAAACGACTCAGTTAGTTTCAGATAATTCAGATGACCGAGAAAAAAAAAAGTAAGCACTTAGAGAAAAATAATTTATTCTCGAGCATACAACTCCTTCTCCGTGGAGTGCTAGTGACGAAATAGAGGTTTTTATAATTGTTAAACGGAAAATTCAAAGCCCTTCTGATTAGTAAATACTGAAAGTAGTGTCAACAAATAACTTTTTAACACATTGGAGTGATTCAAATTCGAGTTAGGTCCGAAATCTCCTGTTATGGTAATATAAAATAGGATAACATTTATATATTATAACAAATAATATAGAAGGATAAAATAAAATTAATATCAAAGACTTAGAGACATTAATATTGTCAATTCTATAATAAAGAAAAAATGAAATAAAATTGTAAAACTCAAAAAAATGTGTTATTTCACAATTTTCCTTCCACGTTTATATAACTTTGCTTTTATTATCTGAAGATACTTTCTCATAGCTCATAGGTTACATTTTTAAGTATACGGTTTAGAAATAAATGTTAACAAAATTTTCCTAAGCTTCAATTGACTCAATAATTTCTTTAACAATCAATAGCTAAAGTTGGGAGCAACTGATTTATTTAATCATCAATAGCTCAATTTGGGAGCAATTAATTTCTTAAGTTAATCAACTTGAATATCTCCCAGACTTGAATCAATCGAGGTAAACTTTTAACCAGCATATTATTCTATGTCTCTTCAAAATTTATCCTTTTGTTATCCGAAGATACTTTTTAGTTTATAGCCTACATTTTAGTATAGTGTTTGAACTTACTTTTAACATAATAATGCAGACAATTATTTCTTAATCTTATTAGTTACTAAGACTGAGCCTTTAGCTGCTCCGACGTGATGTAAACTTCTAGTATCATAGGTGCTAACCCTCTACTGCACGATTGTTAAACTGTCCATTTAAAAATCATTATCGTCTTTGTATAATAAATAGTGTATTACATGTATTTAAAATTCTTTTCAAGTAAAATAATAAACATTCTAGGCTGCTAATATGCAAAATACATAATATCATTCTCTAAAAAGTCTGCACTCTCAACTCTGCAGTACTATTTTATATTTTATAAAGTATTTTTAGAAAGTAAAGTTCTTTTTTGGGGGGTATCTATAGGAGGGATGAACAAATATTAAAGTTATAGATCTCCTGTTTTTACACATCAGTAGCTATGGATGTCACGAGTATAAAAAAGCGAAAGTACGAAAGCACCCTATTTGTTAAATTCGACTTTTTTTTTAAACATCGACTATATGTAAAACGTTGATTGGCCCATGAACTGGTCAAAGGGCCCCGCCTGAGTTTTTCATTAGAGTTTCACTTTTCAGTATTAACTGAAGGATACTCCTTTATCCTTTACTCGACTTATTTATCTCACCATTTTACGTTTTAAATTAAATATTCAAGTATTATTATCAGACTAACTGGCCGGTATGAATAATTCGCGTTGTATATTAATCAGTGAACAAATGACAAAATAAAATATAATGAAGGTAATGCATTATGAGATGGAGGAATCAATTTTCTTTTTCTTTTTTTATTATGTCTCATTACAATAGTTCAATCACCATAACAAATGAAAATGTGTATACAATACTAAAAGTCTTTGTTAATAAGATCCAATTTCGATGCTTTTTCTTTTTAGTTTTATCTCAAACACGCTATATTTTTGGGTTTTATAACGCGGGGCTGTTATAAGAGTTATTGAACTATCTCAATGCTCTCAATGAAATTTCCATCCCTTCCGTATCTCATTCATCAAAAGATATTGCTCTCACGTGGGGAACGGGCGACTTCGAGAGCCTCCGTGAGCTATCTGTGGCCTCCGTGACTGGGCTGTCTTCATTAATCTATCGTTAAAATTAATTAATGATTGATTATTAAGTTTATGAGTTAGAAAATCAATATTATCAAGTTAAGTATACATATATAGGAGTGTATGTACTTATAAATAAAAATGACCAACGACTGGCATAAGACTTATACTTATAAATAAAAAAGCAAAAGTAAAATAAAAATATATATTACGGTCTCCATTATCAATTTTTAGCCTTAATGAGGGTTCTAATGATAAAAAGATTGCTCTGCCTGTAGCTTAGATGCTCAACTACCAGTTTAAGATATTAAGCTCTTAATTGATTTTATTTTTGTTTTATTTGTAATTGCAATGTTAGTTACATAGAATTTGAATTTGTATGGAAGTCATTGGTATGATTTTATATGATTCCTCCTTAGCTTTTTATAACTAATGTTTCAGAAAGGTTTAATATATATATATATAATATATATATATATATATATATATATATATATATATATATGATTAACATATTATTTTTATTCTTTTAACGATTTTTCTTAATGTATACATATCTTTTCGTTTTTTAATATGAGATTTTCAGTTGGTTGTTTTACAATTGAATTTATTTTATTTTTTATCATTAAACCCTGTATTCGCCTCTTCATGCTAATCCTTATATTCTTCTATAACGGATATTCTGAAGAAGAATGAACTCATGAAGAAATGCATGTTTAACTAACTTTCCTAACCACTAACATGAGTACTCTAATACAATTCTTAAGCAAAACAAAAAGAAAAGGAACGACCCTGAGACTTCCAGAATCAGAAAGCCATTCCCTAAGTAATCGCGGATTGAGCAGCGGACTGAATAATCCAAAGATTCTTGAGAACCAGGAAGATTGCATTCCTGTCCAAGGCGGAGTTGTAAGAACGATAGGTCTATCTCTACCTCTTTTTTTCACTGATTCCATCTTAACGGTATTTGATCTTGTTAACTTAGTTGTTGCCAATCATTTACATAACTCGTAATAATTACATAAACTCTATTGTTTGAACTAGGATTGTTTTTGGAACTATTCCATCACATTTCCTAGTTAAATAATGAATACACTTCGGACACACTTTCGTTTTAACCGCTAACAGAATTCTAGATAGATTGTAATGACTATAATGATTCGCTTTAATTTCAAAATTCAAAAGTCTATTGCTTAAATCAATGTTTCTTCTGTTGAAAGACTCACTAGTGGATTCAGGATTTAATTTTTGGTGGGAGGAGCTTAAGCCCGAAAGATTTTTTTTCATATACATATAACGATAATTAATTAGAAAAAAAAGGAAGAAATTCACTATTTATATGAAATGGTGTTTAAGGGGTTCTAGAAGTCATATTAAATGTAATTACACGAACAAGAATACTTAAAGAGATAGTTTTTAATATTTTTTTCGGTAAAACATGGTTATATTTTACCATCAGCCCGAAAGCCCTTATATTTAGAAAATCCCGTCATTTTATCAATATTTATGTTTGGTCATAAAAGGTTGTGGTCAGGAAAATAATTAGGTTCCTATCTGAAAATAAAATAAAATTTATCGTTCCTAGGTGAATATGTAAATTGTTAAGGTATCGTCAGATAAGAATTTTTCGACTAGCAATGAAATTGGATAACATATCATACACACACATCGTCGTTTTATTTTTTAAAGCCACTATTAAGTTGTATTTTATAAAACTATATCCCTAAGAACTTTGAGGAAATTTTCTTTGTGAAAACAGAAGATCGCGAACGTATCGTATCGTGAACTTATTTGATAAATAAGAGGGCTTGTGAAATTCTGATACACTTTCTGTTTTTTCGAATTGAGAATTAAGATTGTAATCCACAAAAACGTACACAAAAGTTCAGCTATATCGAAAAGTACTTAGTGATTTATTTTTTCAATAATCTGACTATATGTACTATGTCCGAATCTCAGTCATTTGTTTACACGACATTTCTTATCAAAGTAGTTGTAGTAGATCTTATCTCGTATCTTTTCACGTTTTTTTTTTTTCTCCAGTTCTATTGGGTTTTACGATCAAGCTCCGTTCAAATGCCATTTTCGCTAACTGTCTCCACACCGTCATGAGTGATCATCTGCCAATCTTTATACACTAGACTACTGATCCTGGGAGGAAGCTGAAGTGTTTTAGATAGTAAGTCTACTGACGTAAGATAACGGTCAGTCGACTGTTGTCTTATCAATTCATCATATCGTTTCTGAATCACCTAAAGGTTTTGCTTCCGATTTTCAGTTTCTTATCATCAAAATATTAATTCGAAAAGTTATTCTTTTTTTAAAATAATTCCATTATCTTCCGTGATGAAAAAAACAATATAATTCATCCGTTATGTTACACCACTTATAATATAGATTATATTTTTATTCGTTCATTGATGTCTGCATTGCATAAGGTACATTTATCAGCACAAGCATTACGAAATCAAACTGTTTTAAAATTTTATCATCATCTGGCTTAATCATGAATTAAATTAGATGAAATTATTTTGCCAAATACGGTTTATAACGTCAATATTTAATCAAAACAATAAGACAACATTAATCAAATTAATAGCATTGAAGAAAGGGATCAGTGATTGTTATAACCACGTGGACGGTCTGCCTAGAGCGCATGTTTACAACTTGGCAAATATTTAATGCACTCAAACATCAAAATTTGAAAGTAGCAATAAAACAATAATTTAAATTTTTCTTAAATAATCATTACAATTTTTAAAAAATATTAATTATATAATCTAATTCAATTTACATCAAATAGACAAATACAACCGTTAAATAGAATCTGTATAAATAGTAAAAATTTCACTTATTCGCGTAAGTGAAGGACGGATGTGACGCACTCGTAGGTTGTGTTGTTATTTTTGGTAAAAATAAATAAAATGATTTATTAACTTACGTAAAACAAATATAAATTTATAAAGAGATTTATTAATACGTTATACTATATACGAGTGTATATCAATATTTATTACAGAAAATTATGAGTAAAATGTCCGGTAGGAGATTCATGATAAGATCTGTAGTAACCACGTGGGCTGTCAGCTGTGCTTTCATGTTTAGTGTGACAGTGTTGATTACTTTTAAAAAAAATAGAATTAAATGAAATCTAATTCGGCAAATAATAAAATATTATATTAATAAATTATGAGAAAAAAAAAATATTTAAATATTTTTTATTCCTGAATCATTTACCAAATTTCAGATAGTTTGTAAACTTTCTCAAAGAAGAAAAAAATCAGTCTGGTTAAAAGAAATTTGTTTAACACATCCCCTATCAATGATTATGGTTCACTTCAATGCACAAATATGAAACGTATAAATAATGCATAAACTAATGAGCTTTAAATTAATTATTTATTTTCGAAATTCCTTTATGTTGAATCCCTTTTCTTATGACAATGTTCAATTTATAAAAATTAAAAAGTTCACAACCTTAAGGACGTACTCACCATTACGTCGATCCCTAACTTGTCGATGAGTTGAGCTATTATCCTCCACTTGAAGACGAAGTAGAAGGGTGTCCCTTGGAAGTTATCCCCGGCATTGAGGAAGATGGTGTTGTTATCCCTCATGGAAGCGGCAACCGCAGCCACCCTCGCGAATCCTCCGTAGCAGGGCGCCGGGGGGCGGCAGGCGGCGGTGGAGGCGGCTATCTCGTCTATCCGGGAGTGCATGTCGTTGGTGTGGAGTACGACAAGGCGTAGGGCCAGGCCCGCGCCGATCAACGGTAGTACGCAGCCCAGCCGGAGCATTTCTGGCGAACGAACAGAACGGCTGCCAGCACCGTGAGCACTGCGCAGGCGCGCCTCAATTACCTAAGCCAGCCTTGTCCCGTCTGCAAGGTCGTTGCGATAGCCGTAAGATGGGGGGATTTCCTGGGGATGTCTAGGGAAAAACGTCTGGGACCTTACAGTGAACATGGTTCCGAGGATTGGGTTTGGAAATGAAAAATTATAATGATTCTGTGTCAATGATTTAACTTAGTACTTATCTGTCGGCTAAAAATATATTTAAAAGAAAAATAAATTTCTTTTAATAAAACGTTCCCTTGAAACTATTTATTTCAGAGGGAAAAAAGTATTAATGATGTTCAGTAAAGGCCTCTTTTTATCAAATTATCACCACTCGCCTAAATGCCTTCATTTTGTAATAATCCACAACTGTTTTATTTACGGAAATTAAGGAAACTGGTGAGTTTTCAATCTGAAGATCGATAAACTTCATTACTTTAATGAGGCACTAAAACCTCATGAACACCTATTTCCATTCCTCTTAGATCTTAGCAAAATCGAGAAGAAAAATGACCCATAAAAATAATGGGCCGTAGAGTGAGCCTTCACCCTCAACATGTCAAAATAACGAGGTTATTTAAGTCTAAAGTCTAAACTTTTTATATTTTATAGATCAACTTTTTTATATTTTGTTATCAAATTATTTTATGATTCATGTGGAAAGAAAATGGATATAGATAATTAGCGAATCAGTGTTTAGTATCTCCCCAAAAAGTTGGGCTCTTCGATTAAATTCTCTACTTGATGATTCGATAGTAAAAATATTTTATAACGTTGGCGATGGAATTCGAATTATAATCAGATACTGATGTTTTATGTGAAATCACGATTCGAAAGTAAAAATCTCAAAATAGATTGTCATTACCACTAAAAATCATTCCATAAAATATTTTTGCAAATGTTTTTAATAATTAAAAATCGGAAGATTGTTGATGGTTCAAATTTTATTAAAATATTCAAAAAGAAACGATAAATATATATATATATATATATAATATTTTTTTTTTTTTTTTTTTTTTTTTTTTTTTTTTTTTTTTTTTTGGCATGTATCAAGATGTTCTCCTGTCATAATATCTTGGTTTTAGCCTTTTTTTTACTTTTTAAATTTCAATGAAATATTAAAGGCTTAAAATTCTGATATTTTTGTCCGATAGCTTTATTTCGATATTTCTAGTTTTATTATTTTTCTTTATTCTAAGTAATAAAAATCTGGTGGGCGCAACACACAACTTTCACTTACCGCTCTAAAAATTATTTTCTAAAAATAAAAATTATTTTCTGGCAATGCTGGGCTATTATAAAATTTTGAAATTGATTTAAATAAATTTAATAAATGGATTTAAATAAACCGAGCTAAAGTTTTTTTGATTTTATAAACAACACAAGTTCATTCTCTGAGCCTTTCATGACTAACTCCAATTTCAAAATTATTGAGTAATATTATTTTAGTGATATTTCTAGTTTAAAAAGTTATCTATACAGACAGTGAGTAAGTTGATTCCAGATAAGGTAATTGCAGTGTTGAAATATAGAACTGTGGGTAAAGGTATAAATTTTACTACAAGAAAGATCACTAAAATTAATAATAGAATGTTGAAATTGGAGTTAGTCATTCTGTCAACCGAAAGACCCATATATGCCTAGAGAGGTTTGAAAGTATATCTGAATATTTATCCTATAAATTGTAGGACTATTAGTTATTAAACTGTTATTATCCATTGTAAAGATTACTAAAACAAAATTACGATATTTTCATTGCCTGCCATGGATAGGTCAAAAGTTGTCACACTGATTGTTAGTGGATAATGTTGAGAATTCACTTCTTCTTAAACAATGGCATTGGCTTGATTCGGTAGATTTTAAATACTTGTTTTTCAATCTTAGAACAACATTTAAAAGTTTACAAAAATTAAAAGTTTATAGTAAGAAAATGTCATTTAATTTCCTTCCGTGATTTTCGTTTAAAATATTAGTTTAAAAAAATATTATTTACTTTTTTTCGTAGCTCTCCGTTACCTTTTACAACTTTCTATATTAGATATTGTTTTTTATAAAATTCTCCGCTTTCCAACGATATATTATACGTATACCTTCTGACTAGTAATTTGAGCTTTTGGATTTTGAAAAAAATGCATTTATGAGTATATCTCTATGAAGTCATCCAGCGTTGTCATCCACAAAAACGAATTCTGAGCCAATTACTTCTGTCCCAGCGTGCACTAGTGATCATAAGACTCTTTCCAAGTAAGACTAAGCAGTCATACTCATTTCGTAACATCACAAGCTATGCTCGAGAGCCACAATATATACCACCCCACCCTGTAGTTGAACCTCCTCCAAACTAGTTAACAGGCAAGATTAGGGAAGGCCTGTATCGCTCACCAGACCTGATAACTTTTTCTCGGTTTTAATCGTGCTACTGTATACATTTAGAAAATATCTGTAAAAACACAATTATCCTAGGCACGCTCACTTCATTATATGTGAATCCGAACGATTTGAACTTTATATTGTGGGGTAAGTCCTGGGAAGCGCGATGGTCTTCGCCTGTGCAATCCATGCTCTATCATCCTTCTTCTTACTTTGTGATAGCTAATTTGCATACTAGAGGTAGAAAACATATCATCAGTCAGTCTTCGGAAGGTGTTGAAGTGATTCATTCGAGCTCTGACAGTCAAATATCGGCCTTGTACCTGCTGTAGAGCCTTGATATCCTCCACCATACTTTTTGATTTGTACCTCTTACAAAATTAAGATTGGAACTCCTTCAAAATTACATATTAAGCAACATGGCATAAGATGTCTCATATGATATAAACAAGTATTGACACAATATTTTTCAACATTGCAAAGGGTTAAAAGCAATCCTCGTTATTTATAAAGATTGCACAAGGTAACACAATTGCTCGCTCTAACATTATCATATTTTGCTCTTGAGCAAGATAACGATGGTTCAAATTAAAACAAGTTGATAACATGGAATACGGTTTGAAATACTTCAGAGTAAATGTTACTCAACACTTTTAGTTCTAGCGGCACCAAATTTTATTATACTTTTACCACTTTAATATTTATTTTATTTATTTAGAAATATAATAATCTGTCACGTGGATAATAATTGTAATGAGATATGAACATATTCACACCATATAATACTTTTAAAAATCAAAATTTAAAAGTTATTATTAATACTTTCCACAACTACGTCTCAAAAATCTATTTCCATTGGCAACAGTTTTCTGGCTGAGTCGGTTGAAACTTTATGAGAATTGTGGACGACCAATGGCCTAAAAGGATATTTAAACATGTTCGGGTAGAAAGAAGAGTGGTTGACCAGAAAAAAAGACAGATGGGAGGTATTCCTCAGGCAATGGCAGCAAGAGGATCCAGAGAGGCTTATTTTCATTCTTTATTTATTATCCTTCATCATCCAAAGGAACTGCTATGATAGGAAGAAATGGCAGCAGGTTTTATGAGTCAACGATATATGACTATAAAAGGTTGTAATAAAGTCGTATATATATATATATATATATATATATATATATATATATATATATTATTATATATCTAGGGCTGGGGTAGCTGTGTGGGCTAACGCACTTGTAATTGGAACCCAAGTTAAGCAACGCCGAGCGTGGTTAGCACTTGGATGGGTGCCGTCCACCAGAGAAAGCCACGCTGCCCGAGACTCCCCTCCCGGGTTAGTGAGAACCGTCAGCCTACTGGAGGCAACTCACACCGACCGGGCGTAGGACTGATGATCCTACCCCCGTGTACTTAAATCAGGAATCGGGATGTGGTCTAATATTTTGTTAACAAATGAAATTACAAAGTTAACAATAATAAATTACAAAATTATATGAAAGTTAACAAAACAAATTTTTTATTATTATTAGGTACAAGAGGAATTCGATGGTTTAATGAAGCCCTAAAGCTCCGTTAGTCCCAATAGATGCTATTATACAAGTTCTTCAACTTATATTTCAGTAAACAACAGCAAAGGTTTAAAAAGGGTATGGTAGGGAATTCCCCTTAATAATCTCAGATTTCATGAAACAAGACCTTTATCTAGTATTACAAAATTCAAATAATTGGGTATGAATATGGCAATTTTGTAAATTTGAGATTATAAAACTTATAATTTATTTAATGTGAAATTCAGATATTTTTTTAACGAAGCTGTCAAAGTTATATTTTTTTAAAGCAACAAGAGAGTACAAATCTATTTAAGGATCATTTGAATTAGAAAAATTTATGATTTATTCAAAGGAACAAAACATTTGGATATTTAAATGTTATTTATAATTACTACTAATTATTATTAATACTAGTTATTAAGATCTACTATTAATTAATATTAATACTAGTTATTAATATTTAAAAGGATATACTAAAGACATGGTTCAAATCGAACTGTATATCTAGAAAGCAACGATTTTACATATTCTTAATTCTTTGTTTTCGCCCTACAAGGTTACTTCATCGTTTTTTTTTTTTTTTTTTTTTATATTGAACACCTTAAGATATTGACACTGATTTCCGACTTTCTCTCCGTTTTCTTGCGATATTTTTTTTGTTGTTGTTGGTAATTGTTGTCTGATCGTTTCGAATTGAAGGTACTGTAGTAGTAAGTGATTGATTGTGATCTGTTGTTACACTCATGGCACGTGGGTGCTTCTTGACTCCAAGAAGGTGAAAAGCAGACCTGGGAAATATCTGTTCTAAATATTAATTTAAAATACAGTATTAAAAATACCATATATTTTGTGTTTTTAAAATACAATGTATTTTAATAACAAAATACTATGAGTATAAATACTTTTATAATTTTGTATTTTAATTACATAAAATTAAAATACGTATACGAAATATATAACATATGGAACCTACTCTATTTGGTGATTTATTTGGTGTAGATAAAACATATTTTTTTGTATATTAGTATCTTGAAAATAAAATACAAATACATTGTTTTTATTTTGTATTTAAAAAAAAACAT